CTTCAACACCGTAGGCTTACAACTTGCTTACCAATATCAGGCAAGAAAAGAGGGCTTTGCATACTGTGACTAGAATTTGCTATATTTGTGGTCTATTAAACCATTTGCCTGGGCTCTAGTTCTTTTATCTTTCCTTGGTCCCTTTAAGCGGACTTCCATAAAGGTATTCTAGATACCAGTTTGTGGATAAATTAGATATCCAGAGGTATCTTACCTTTCCTTTATATATGAAGAGAAGCTTGCTTTTGACAAATAATTTACCAATTTGGTATTTTTTTCTAAATTTCATTTCTTTTCAATAGCAAGTGAATGAGATACATTAATTGGTTTTGCTGGGCAGTTGTGACTGCTGAATTGTGCGAAGAAATAGTCAACGCACTTTTCTTCGACCGCGATGTGTGCTCATCTGATGAACATCGTTAAAGTGTGAAACCATTCTTTATGCAATCTTAATTGTCTTAAGGCCTCGTGGACTCACGTCCGGTTAAAGGAAAGCCAAGTACGGATGGATCTTAGTTATGGAACAGTGCGACATGTACTTGTTTGCACAAGTCAGTGGTCAGAACTGCTATTTCAGGTTACGAGACAGTTTCACGAATCCCTTCTACTCGCTTCTCTTCCAATGAACTCAAAGGTAAAGCATTATGAAGTTTGAATATATGAAGACTACGATGTTGTGGCCTCTGTTATGGTCGCAATCTCCTTTCGATTTGTAGAGAAGTGGGTTGACCTCGTTGTCGCAACTTGGTCTTGTGGTCAGGGAGACTATGTAGTTGTCATGATTCCCAGCATCTGACAGTGGACTTATTGTTGTGGCCTCTGGTATGGTCGCAGTGGGCGACAGTGGGAAAAAAGGGTAAAGAGCAGATAGATAGAAAATGACAGAAAGAGGAGTGATAGTGTAACCGTTTTCGGAAGAACGCTTGTCGAGGGATTGACTTCACTCTTTGACGAGTTCGTAGAGAATGCCGGCGAAACGTTTGAGAATGTACCAACTAGACTGTAAGATGCTGGGAATCATGACAACTACTATGGCAGACGACTTCATAGTCTCCCTGACCACAAGACCAAGTTGCGACAACGAGTTCAACCCACTTCTATTATGAAGTTTGATTGTAGTTATAAAAACCTAAATAATATAGCTTCCATTTAGTGGCAGTTTCCTTTGATTGAAGGTATGAAGACCAAGATGATGTGGCTTTTTGTGTGGTCGCCGTCTCCTGTTTGACCTAGTTTTTGCAACATGGTCATATTGGTAGGAAGACTTATTGGAACGCACCTAGTCCGAGGTCCATTGTCTGCATGATCATTTCTAAAGTTGAACCGTAGACGTGGTACATTCCCAAACGTTTCGCCGGCATCGTAGTCGGCATCGTCAGTGAGTATCGCTTCCTAAGCACCATACAGCAACTCGTCAAAGAGACAAGTGAAGCCGATCCTTTGACCAAACGTATGCTAAAAAAGTATGGTATCTCCCCGTCTGCCCTGGGTTATTCGCGTTTCCGGTAGAATCATATCATGCCTTCACCATTGCAATTTTTACCGTGTTTATTTAGATAGTATGGTGTGCTCCTTTGAGCGACATCACACTTTCACTCTCCAACTCTCGTTCTCACCCCCCCTCATCCTTGTGCAGGGAGTGTTGATCAGAGTCTGCTTTATTATTATGCAGTCCTCTTCGCTAGTCTTATCCCAGTCTCCCTGTTGT